ATTTCAAACAAAACAGTCTCCATTTCTGGTCCACATCATTCAGGGACGTATTAATAAAAATAAATACCAATCATATTAATTCACCTTTCTTTTCAAATACAGATAGCTTTTCCCCTGCAAGACTTTGTGCATTTCCTCCCCAGAAGGAATTTGATTTTTAAACACACCCCAAATACAGAGTAAGAGACTTTAATAAATGAAATTAACAAGGAAAAAACCCAATTTCTTAGCTCAGGAGGTTTTGCAGGTGGAGGCTGTGAGAGCGCAGTCGGGGTTCCCCAATCCTGCACCCCCATAGCAGCCAGAACAGTCTCCACCCACCAGCAGAGTAGAGAGGGGTTTATTGATTTTCCAGAATACAGCACAGCATAGATGTGATGTGGCAATAGGAGGCGGCTAGGATGCCCCAGACCCCTCCCTAGGCTGTCTCCATCATGTTTCCCACCCCAGACTAAATCTCCCCCGCCCCCACATGCCTATGTCCTTTATTCCAACCTCCTTCCCTCCCCGCAGTCAGAACCAGTCAGGGCAGCATCTGGCCCCCCTGCTGGGCCGTGCTCAGACAGGACCAGTAGGGGTCAGCCCAAGCCTAGCGCCCAGCAAGATGCCCCCCTACATCACAGAGGTCACCCACTGCTGCATATAAGGCACCACGAAATACCAGCCCCTCAGGAGATTAACGCAAGAGCCCTTAAGAGCAGGAAGAATTGTATTGGCCTTTAGTCTGTGGAGCCCACCAGGTGAGTCCCATTGGTTATCTCCCACCAGGGCCTGCGTGGGAGTAGGGGTTAGGAGCGGTCAAGGAAATCTCAGCCAAAGGACGGGATACAGTAGGCGTCTGAGTCAACTTATACAAGGAGCTTTTTGTTTATTTTTTTAATTAAAGAGAGGAGTGTAACTAAAGGCAGAACCGATACAGGCAGGTAGAGATAGGAGCTGAACTTCTGAAAGGATCCCAGGGCCACCGATAATAGAGGCTTTCATCGACTGAGGCTTATACCCTCCACTGAATCCGCAGGGACTTCTTTCTCCGCAGGTAAGAAGCAATTAAACGCGACACGCCAGCTCAGTTCTGAGAAGCAACTTCCAAGAGCGCCCAGCTGGACTCCGCTCAGGAAGCTTTGTAAGACGAGCGCCAAGGCAGATTTTCAAGGTTGCAGGTGACCGAGTTGGAGAGGCCGCGGGTCTCTGACCTAGAAAAATCTGCTTCAAAACATGCCGAGTGTGAGAACTAGCACAGAGCAGGCGGGCGAGGTCAGGGAAGGGTTCAGGGGGACATGGGAGGGTGGAACTCTACAGGAGTCGGTGCAGTTCCAGCTGAACACTGTTTTGGAGCAGGAAAAAAAAAGAATCAAGACTGAAACCCAAGCGCTGTCGCACTTCCACGCTACAAATTAAGACACATTACGATTTACCTCCACGCTCAGAGGCTCAGCTTTGCTGTGCACCCCCTTTCTGCAAGAGGGCATCGCAGGACAGATGCCGTTAACACAACTGGCCCATAAGAGGTTTACAGGGATCTCCTTTAAAAGTATGAAGTTGTTTTAAGAACAAAGAATGCAGTTGCTTAGATGCAATGTTTTTCCATCAAACAACAAGGTCTTCAAAAATGAGGGCAGGGTCCCTCTAAGGAAGGATTTTTCATTTATTAGGCAAAACAGATGCTCAGCAATGCTCAAACGGCCAGGTCTGGATTACCAAGCCAACAGGTAACTCCAGTAACGGCTTGGTGGTAAGGTGGAGACGCTATTGGTGAAAGATGGAAGCAGGCACTGATTTACAGCCCGGAGTTTGCAACACAGACAGAGGGTTCCCGCCTATGCCTCTGGAAGGCAGAACAGCATCTACCAGGCAACACTGTGGAATGGTGCAACATGGTTCATTGCTTATGGGGTAAATTGAAGCCTGGAAGATCTTTTGGGGATCATAATCAGGCTTTTGGAACAGGAGCACTATCCTAGGATTCGGCCCACTAAGCCAGGATGGAAGGAGGCCCTCAAGAGCGTTCGCTCAATCCCAAGAAGGCTCATGGGACTTCAAGAACTTCTCCGGAAGGTTCTGGAGGTCCTCACGAGCTGGTTAACTTCAGGTTGGTCATGGCTTGCTTGTCCTCACGAGCCCCCGGGAGTCTTCCTGGATCTGGGGCCCAGTGTCTATGCCAAAGTGGGCTTGGATTTTCACATCCCACTGAGAATTCCTGTTGGCAGCATTAAGCTGCCGTATCCAGAGATGTGGTAGCTGAGCTCCCCGTGCAGAATGCTACCCAATATTCAGCAAGTGGCATTTCCAAGTGCACGTGCATGGGTGCCCCAAATTGCACGCACAACTTTTTGCATAAGGTTAGTTCTTGCGTTTGGAAGCTAACGTGGAAAAGCCAAAGTCAAAATTCTAGGTACAATGCATAGAATCCTAGAACGGGCAGGGACCTCAAGAGGTCATCGGGTCCAGTCTGCTGCCCTCATAGCAGGACCAGGTACTGTCTGTCTAGATCATCCCTGACAGGTGTCTGTCCAACCTGCTCTTAAATATCTCCAGTGATGGAGATTCCACAACCTCCCTAGGCAACTAGTTCCAGTGCTTAACCACCCTGACAGGTAGGGAATTGTTCCCTATGTCCAACCTAAACCACCCCTGATGAAATTTAAGCCCATTGCGTCTTATCCCATCTTCAGAGGCCAAGGAGAAAAATTGTTCTCCGTCCTCCTTGTATTGCCTTTTTAGGTACTTGAAAACTGCTGTCATGTCCCCTCCCAGTCTTCTCTTTTCTCAACTGAACAAGCCCAATTCTTTCAGTCTTCCCTCATTGCTCATGTTCTCTAGACCTTTAATCATTTGTGTTGCTCTTCTCTGGACCCGCTCCAATTTCTCCACATCTGTCTTGAAATGCGGTGCCCAGAACTGGACACAAATCTCCGACGGAGGCCTAACCAGCACAGAGTAGAGCAGAAGAATGACTTCTCGGGTCTTGCTCACATTTTACACCACTACTTCAGAGGGGGACTCGTGTTGGTGCCACTGACTGCGAAAGGGAACATTGTGTTACGCCCTGGTAGCTCAGTGTCGAGATGAAAGGCCATCACCAAGGTTTCGGCGGCCATTTTCTTGAGGTCAGTGGAGAGACGGTCACTAACGGGGGTGAGGCCTTCACCTTCGGCCACAAGAGCAGAACAAAAGGAAACATGCGCTGAATTGAGGGGTACGTCAGGAATATAGATGCGAACAGTCAAGCAGCGAGCTCAGCTCTTTGAGGTAAACCCTCACGGAGGTTGCCTGCTTTGCTGATCTTCCCATTAAAGGGGAAAAGCATTGACTGGGGGCCAGGAGTCACACAGGGCTGTAGCCTTGGATACCTGGAGCCCCCCTCTCCACACGGTGCCATAAGCAGTGGCTAAACTTCTGGCCACAGCAGCTTCCTTGTGGACTGAAACCACCCTGCTCTTTTGGCACGATGGCCTCTGACAGGGCCAGAGCAGTAGAGCCCCCTCCAAGAACACACGGTAGCAGTGGCATCAGTCCACCGTTTTCCTCGTCTGAGGAGAACAACAACTGTTGCGCCGCCCACCAGCTTTTTGGGCTCGTCCCCGTTGATTGGCTGGCACTAAGCAGGGCTGGCAGCTCCCTTTGACCCCAGACTCTAAGGCATTCCCGCTTTTCCCGGTTAGCTCTTCTGCGGCACGTGGCGATGAAGTGCCAGGACTTTGCTGGACACTTAGAAACCGCTCTCTGAGCTGTCTGTCTATCCAGCTCATCAGTTTGGGTCCTCTGATTACAGGGCAGGAGCAAGATGACCCCACTGGCCATCACCTTCAGTCACTGGTGTTCTACTTAGTCAGCTGCTCCGACTTTAGAAGGAGCACTCTGGCTCGGATACTCAAAAGACCCTTCACATACTCAAAAGACCCTTCACATTTTCTCTCTTTTTTGGGGAGCGGGAGGGGTAGAAACTTTATTAAAAAGGTGAATGAAACACTTGGTCACCAACTGACATCAACAGGCAGCAGGTTTAAAACAAAACAAAATGAAGCATTTCTTCAAGCAACACACTGTCGACCTGTGGAACTCCCTGCCAGAGGATGGTGTGAAGGCCAAGACTACAACAGATTTCAAAACACAACTAGATATGTTCATGGAGGACTGGTCCATCCATAACCTTTAACCAAGATGGGCAGAGATGGTAACCTATGCAGTCCAGACAAGGACTCTCAGCCATTTCACATTGCTAATCACAGTGGCAGATTGATATCCGGTGGCCTACAGGAGCAAGACAACAACCTTAAAACAGTGCTTCTCGTATGAGTTACTATCTCAACAAACCTTATCAGAAGGCTACCAGACACGGATGTCAATCTACTGGTGCGATCAGCCATGTGAAATCTATCGCCCAACAACCTGCCAGAAACATGCAGCACAGAGAGCACTGAGTGAAACTCTGTGCCCTTTCCTATCCAGGAAATCCATGGCTAAGGACATGTCTCTACTACCCACTGGATGGACAGGCAGCTATCAATCCAGCAGAGGTCAATTTATCAAGTCTAGTATAGATGCAATAAACTGACCACCTAGTGCTCTCCCATCAACTCCGGTACTTCACCAGAATGAGACAAGTAAGCGGAATTGACAGGAAAGCATCAGCTGTTGACTTACCACTGTGGAGATACCGCGGTAAGCAGATCTACGGACACCAGCTTCATCTATGTCAGGGGTGGGCAAATTCCGACCCACGGGCTGGATCCGGTCCACAGGGTTAGTGGCGGTCACCCGCCAGGGACTATGGTTACCTGCAACTCCACAAGTATCGGGGGATCGCAGCGCTGGCTGGCCGCAAATTGCCGTCCCAATCCATGACGCTTCCCACCACTCGCATTGGCCGCAAACAGCGATTCGTGGCCAATCAGAGCGGCAATCCACCGATACTTGCAGAGGGGAGGTAAACACAGGGACTAACCCTGGGGGCTGCCTTTTTTTTTTATTGCCCACCCCGATCTACATCGCTGACGCCACGGATCTTAGGTCAACGGTCTGCAGTAGTACAGGCACGACCCTGGTGGCCATAAGGACACCTTTTGGCCTTAAAAATATGCAACTCAACCAAAGCCAATAAGCCATTTAGTGATTTAAATCGGTGTTTCTTGACCTGCCCCCAGGAGCAGCAGCTGCCTTTTTTTTTTATTGCCCACCCCGATCTACATCGCTGACGCCACGGATCTTAGGTCAACGGTCTGCAGTAGTACAGGCACGACCCTGGTGGCCATAAGGACACCTTTTGGCCTTAAAAATATGCAACTCAACCAAAGCCAATAAGCCATTTAGTGATTTAAATCGGTGTTTCTTGACCTGCCCCCAGGAGCAGCAGATAGTCCCTTTTTTTTTTTTTTTTTTTTTTTTTTTTTTTTTTTTTTTTTTTTTAGAGTAAATATTTTGAAAAAGTCTCCCTTTGAAACAAGGATCGGTTACAGCCACGTTCCATTCCGATTTCAAACAGCCAGGGAGTCTTTTCCAAGAAAGAGCAGGTGCAGGAGCCAGGAGACGTCTGCAAATAGCCACGACTTTACGGCACAAGCCCACCACTCTGAAGGGGTTTTCCGGGGGCTACGCGTCTTCAGGCAACGAACACTTTACTCCTCAGGGCACAGTGACACAAGGACATTTGCATCACCGTTCTAAAAGCCCCTCTGCAGTCAGGACACACCCAGGACAGCCACCTGCCTCTGCCCAGAAACACGCCCCCCCGGTTTCTGCCACAAATGCGTCAGTGACAATGTCACTTACCTGCCAGGGCTTTTTCGTAGTTCTTGCCCATGGAAATGAAGTTCCGGAGGTTGGGGTTGTACTTGCCCCCCCGGTTTCTGCCGCAAATGCGTCAGCGACAATGTCACTTACCTGCCAGGGCTTTTTCGTAGTTCTTGCCCATGGAAATGAAGTTCCGGAGGTTGGGGTTGTACTGCTCCATGATCGTCTGGAGGGAAAAGCACAAGAAGCAGGAGACATTAGCCACGCGGGGAGGGACAGTTCAGGCTCCCTGCCGGACGACGGAGCATCCCCGCGTCTGGCGTGGGTATGCGCGTGGCGGATTCACATGCATCCTGCCACGCGCGGGGAATCCTCCCCCACAGCCCTCAACAGACAGCACAACTCCGGCTCACAGAGGTTTTACACGAGGCTAGCGGCTGTCCTACACAGCCCCGCTTTCAGTGCGGCAAGGGCTTATGCAGAATCGCAGGCACCACGAAGATTCTGTTTGCCTACAAGGGTATCTATTTTTTCCAGCTCTGGCAATACAAAGCCCCGCGTAATAGGATCGCAGGATGATATATGATCACGGCCGCTGGAGATAAGCTAGCGACATTCCTAAATCAAATGGATAAAGCAGCAGCGCTGACAGAAAATGAGCTACTTGGCTAAACGCAAGTCCTGTTTCTATGCTCTATTTTGTATTTATAGCCAGAGTATTGTCCCAGTCCTGTCTTGACAGGAGATGAAGGTATCAAAGGACATTTATTGCTACACTGACTATCCCATCTATATTTATGAGGTACCAAACCCGCTTTTGTACTCGGATAACTCACTGCCGGTAGGCGTGCCAAACTGTAGCGAAACTGCACTGAGGAAGGCGGATAAAGCACCTACTCGTGCATCTTCCTTTGACTAGATCGATAAAGCCTTCCAAAAAAATAAAACCCGTGGTCCGCTCTCCCGCCGACTGTCCAGCGTAGGCAGAACATCTCCAAACGCAGGTTTGCGCGAGGTCTCAGTATATCAGAACACAGGGAAATACAGGGAGCAAACATTTTTTAATTTTTTCGATGCCTAGATGCCAGCAAAGAAGAACACATAGTAGCGTCTTTCCTAGGCTAAGTGCACCTTCCGGTGCGGAAGGATGTATGGGTAGAGACCACAGCAACCCCAGCTAGAGGGGTGCTATTAAGACAGAGGCGGGTTTCTCTTCGCTTGCATCATTTGGTAATGACCAATGCAATGTATCAGCTTGGCAGATTAAAGGGGAAGGCACAAGGAACCTTAAATGTCTTTTATCGCACAGGGCAACTCAGTCCGGGTCCCAGCAGCCGGCCCATCCCTGATGCCTGGCACGAGACAGAGGACCCAACGGCAGCCAGCAGGCACCTCCTCGGACCCTCTCCTCCACTCCGACTGGTGCCAGCCAGAGCAGAGCTTCCTAGAGGGTTAGGGGTTGACATCATGGGCGGTCGGTAATGGAGGCAAGGGAAGGTACAGCCTTTCCAAAACTGCCTAAGGCTGGGGCCGCCCGCAGGGAAGGCTGGAACTGCAGCACAGCAGCCTGGCCCCGTCCGGCCGCTGGGGGAGGCAGCCCAGCTCAGCAGCCTGGCCACTGGTGGAGGAGGGGGAGAGACGGGGCCACGGAGGGGTGGGGCAGCTTTCCCCGGCTGCTGGGGTGGGCTGGGCCATCAGGGGATGGGCCACAGCGTGGCAACCCGGCTTCCCCCAGCTACCGAGGGGCGATGGGGCCACGGCATGGCAGCATGGCTTCCCCTAGCTGCCGGGGAGGGCCGGGTCAGGGCCACAGCACAACAGCCCCAGCCCTCCACATGACCAGGAAGGATAGGGATGAGGATGGGTGGGGCTTAGTTCCAGGGGCGGGGCTGGATCTTGCCTTCCCCAGCTGGGCTTCCCCCCGCCACGCACGTTGGACATACACAGTTCTGGGTTTGATACAGTCACTGTCCATCAACAGCTTGTTTGGACAAAGGCGCAAACAAGGTGGCATTTTCAGCCTGTTCCTAGCAGAACACGGCTCAGCCAAAACGTACGGCTGGTCTTTCTCAGCCTGGACTTTCTCTTGCACTTAGGTCCTGGGAGGAAAAGTTGTCGAAACACCTCTCTGCCTTCACCCCTGCCCCCCCACCTAGGGTCTCTCCCTTCCCCCCACCTAAGGGCTCAGAAAGAAGGTTAAACCTCCTTGTGCTACTCTGTGGGCACCAGTAAAATTCAGCTGGTCAGAAAGAGCGAGTCAGCAGAAATCACTTTATAACCATCTAGCACTGGGGTGGGCAATAATTTTTGGTGGGGGGAGGGGAATTCCAAGATTTTGGAAAGTGGTCAAAGGCTGCACTTTTCTGTGGAGGTTGGGTGCAGGAAGACACATGGGGTAAGGGACTGGGGTGGAGGAGACGGTGGGAGGTCTGAGATGGAGTCTGGGCAAAGGAGGGGGGTGTGGCCTGGGGAATCGGGGTGGGTGTTTGGATGCGGGAGAGGATTCCGGCCTGGGGGAGGGGCGTAGAAGGGGGTAAAGAGTCTGGGAGGGAGTTGTGACTTGGGGCAAGGGGGTGCGGAGGGTTTGGATGGTGACCTGGGGGAGGCAGTTGGACTGCAGGAAGGGCAGGGGTGCTAGAGGCAGGCTCTGGGAGGCACTTACCTAAGTGTCCCCTGGCCAGCAGCCCTGCAGCACCCCCAAGGCAGGCTGAACTCTCTGCCTGCTGCAGTCCCAGACCGCTTGGAACTGCAGCTGCTCCTGCCACATGGGAGATAGGAGATAGGCAATCTCCATTATTATAGACTAACAAAACATGTAGATGGTGTCATGGGCACAGCCCACTTCTTCAGATGACCAGAGTTACGATTAGAGGATAAGGAAACACGAAATAAATAAGGGAAGGAGGGAGGAAGCAAGGTGGAATCTGTGCTCTGGATGGCTGATATCACGGCTTCTTGTAAGTTCCACTGTAGCCGGGGTGGGGAGGCGTCACCACACAAGAGATGTTTTCTGGCCAAGAAGAGTTTTTTCAGTTTAGTGGGAAAGGGCTGACTTCCTTCCAAGCTCCCCCGACAGGAATCAGGTGGCTACAGAGGAACGGCTCTTTATAAGTTGGTAGCAGGCTGTGAATGCCTGGTTCCAACCCTGCTCTGCTCCCGTAAATCGTCCAATCTCCCAGTAAGATGCCATGGTTACAAACGAGACACCAGTTCTCCGGCTGAGCTCTGTGGGAAGGAGATGTCAGATTCCATCCTCTCCCTTCCCCTTGGACTAAACTCTGGCTGTATACGGGGAGCAGCCTTCAGTCAACACAAGCTGGGGTAGCCACGGGATATTTGCCTCTCTGCCTTTGGGAGTAATCACTCAAGGATGAGCGAGGGCAGGGACATGAAATTCAGTTTAATACCCAAATACCTTTGTGCCCCCGAAGCGTGAATGAGCATTCTTTTGCGGAAGGAGAGGTCACCCGTCTTTCACCCTCACACCACCATAGCACACGGACGGTTACACACTTATAGAAGGTGGGGGGGGGGAGGGGGAGACAGAACAGACTCTTCTGTCGAATAAGCTGATTAAACATCTGTCACCTCATCTGAAGCTGGCCCAACACCATAAAGCTCATTTTCCGCCCGAAGCGTTTTTATCCGTAGTTCCTGGTGCCTGTTCTTTTGAGAGAGTGAGACCGTTTAACGTGCTTCTGCAGACACAGCCGCTGCGGTGGAGCAGCATTGCTAAGTCTTCGCTTTCTCAAAAGTTTAGAGCAGCAGGTTATTTCAATAACAGCCCCCTTGGCACAGGGGCGACAGTTTAATACACTGTTTGATGGCAAGACTTTAAAGTTTGTTAGTTCAGGAATTGGTTTTCATCCTCAGCACTGGCTTCCCCCCAGCACTTCTAGCAGGCCAGCAGGAGTTATAAGTAAGCCCTGAGGCCACCTCTGTCCTAACTAGAAACTCCCTGCGCTCTGGAAAGCTTTGCAGAGACACCAAAAGAGCAAACGTCTCAGGCTAAGTCCACACTGGGAAGGTCTGGGGACAAAAATGCTGTCGCTGTGCAAAAAAAGTCGCCAAAAGCGAAAACTGGGCAAACCGTTTTTTCTGCCTCCCATGGTCAATATTTCCAGGCCACGGGGCTAGCACCCTGGTGGCAGAACAAAGCAGTGTGGGTGAACATCCCAGTGTGGTGGGAAGGCAGAGCTGATCCCTGCGCTTCTTGGGATTCTCTCGTAGCTCTGGGAGCTCTCCGTGCTGGGAATGTCAAAGCACCACAGCCATCTCTCCAGCCCTCCTTCCACAGCAGCCACCTGTCTGCCGGGCTCTGTCTACACTGGCATGAATTTCCGGAACTGCTTAAAAACAGAATACTATTCTGTTTTCAGTTTTTCCGGAAAAGGCAGGCTGCTTTTCCGGAAAAGTCCTTTTTCCGGAAAAGCGTCTGTGGCCAATGTAGACGCGCCTTTCCGGAAAAGACTATTGGGCTGTCTACACTGGCCCTTTTCCGGAACAGTGTTCCGGAATAAGGACTTATGCCCGAGTGGGAGCAGAATAGTTTTTCCGGAATAGTGGCTGATTTTGTACAGTAGAGCATCGTTGCTTTTCCGGAAATTCAAAGGCCAGTGTATAAGGACTTATGCCCCAGCGGGAGCAGAATAGTTTTTCCGGAATAGCGGCTGATTTTGTACAGTAGAGCGTTGTTGCTTTTCCGGAAATTCAAGGGTCAGTGTAGACAGCTCGTAGCTTATTCCGGAAAAGCGGCTGATTTTCTGGAATAAGTGGCCCAGTGTAGACACAGCCCCGCTGTGTTCCTAGCCGGGCAGAACAGGAGCATTCCAGTGATTTGCTCTTTGTTTGTTCCCCAAATGGAGCCGCTCACTCAGCTGTTAGACACTTTCCCAGAGTTTTGAAAGGGGAGGGAGTACAGGCTTGCAGGGCAGCAGAGATCACAAAACACTGATCACAGCCATCAGGGCAAGCATGGTGGGATATTGGGGGAAGCTAGCTCTCTCAACAAAAGCAAACAGCAGAGTCCACGCTGGGTCTGTCATCAACTATAAAGGGGGGAGTGGTGGTAGTGGGGGGGGGAATGTCTCTTAAGGGAGGATTTTTTTGTTGCCAGAACTAGGTGATTTTCCTGACAAGTGTCTCATTGCCGTGTCATCGCTCTTCCTGGTTGGTCACCAAGAGGCAGCTTTTGACGTGCTAGATTAGACAAGCCCTGAGACAGCC